TGTATTCTGTGTGAGAGGCAGGACGTGCATGTCTTGGTTTATTGATCAATATAAACATCTTTGTATTGTTGTACAATGCTTTCCTGAATGGGAACGTAGGGAAAGTGATCTGTTAAGTCAATGTTTCCCAAACTTTTGAAAGCTAAGCCACCTTTCAAGAAAACTAAACCATTCTCATCCCTCACATCTTAATTTATACATCATCTGCATCCTCTCAGCTAGTCCTTCAGGCTCCACAGTTTAGGGAACACTGACTTAAATGCTCCCATCCATCTGAAGAAGTACATTTTTTACCCATGAAAGTTTATGCCCAAATAAATCTGTTAGTCTTTAAGGTGCCACCGGACTCCTCTTTGTTTTTGTGGATACAGACTAACACGGCTACCCCTCTGATACTTAAATGCTCCCAGTTCTCATAGCTCATTGCTGTGTTCTTCATGCTGTGAATCAAAATGATGTGATGCCAATGGATTGGAAGGGATGTCCCAACAAACCATCATGTGGAATACTGCATTGTGAGAAAGGGGAACAAGAAAAGAATGTGCTGCTGTGGAAACTTGGAAGTCTAGACTGACTTAGTTTCATTTCACTATCCATAGAATCAGAGCACAGATGTGCTTTGATACGATCCGGTGCCTATTGATTCAGTTCAAAACCCCACTAGTTGAGTCAGTAGAAGTTACCTCTTTATAAGACAATGTCAATTATCTTATGTAGCTCCCCTTCTTTCTTCAGGCAGCATTTTGAGATCTAATTATATTGGGGCTTTAATTTTGTTGTTTTAGGAACGGTCTCTGGTACTTTATTCTCCCCTTCCCCGAAAGTCCCACAAATATGTGGGGAGGAGAAACAAGAATTTGAATGTTTACACATTAGCTCCCTCTTTTCCCTCACTTGTCCCCTTTGTCAGGGATGGTCGGGGAGGAGGTCAATATGCAAGATTGCTGTGGTTTGTAAATGTCAGCGTACTATAGAAGTTCAAAAAAATGAAAACCCCCAATAAACCCAGTAGGTTGGGAGAGGTGGGGAGGACCATTAAATTGTCACAACCCTGCTTGGAGGGGAATAAGCAGTTTCTCTGCAATGTCAGGTCAGCTCCTTGCCTTCCTGGTGTCCATTGCATAGTACAGCCCCCTTCCTCCTTGTCTAGCATAGGTACCACTGGTTCCCATTGAGACTGGCAGCAGTACTACATGGTGGCAAATGCTCATTAGCAGCTGCCAGGAGAGTCAGGTCTTGCAGAGAGCTCCCTGCAAGGTTCTCCATCTCCAGTCACCAGAAAGGAGTTGAGGGGGAAGGCTGCCTGGCCAGCTGCCAGGCTGCTATAGAGTGTTGGGAATGCAGGAGGAGTGAAGCATGAAGTCCAGCAGCATTCAGCTGGGGAGAATGATTGCAAGGACAGGCTTAAAAAAGCACAATCACTGTGGCAGCAGGCTGGTTTTAAAGCCCTGGTGTTGATCGTCAGTGGCTGCTATCAGCACTCGTTACTTTGCGCTACACCGATACTCAAGAGAGGAGTCCCTAACCAGAGGTCACCATCCGGCATCTTGGCAGTGACTTGGGAAAATGCCACAGCAAGCAGTGATGCTCTCTTGTTGCACAGTGGTCAGCCTTTATCTGGCTGACCTGAAGAATAGACTTTAGGAGGGCTTCAAAGAAGCAATGATCTCAAACATTTTGTTGGTTTCTTTCCAAAATGACCCTTCCTTCCTTCCTTAGGTCAAGTGGGGAGACATGTATGTCAGCCATTTTTTCACAGCTACCTCTTCTTCATTGTAAGAGTAGAGGTAAATAATAGCTCTGCCTAATAGAACAGTGGAATGGGGGAATCTAAATCAGACAGGAGCAAGAAAATAGCTTTTTGCTGTGAGATTATTTTTAACTACCCCCAGAAAATGGTCACAGAACAGGAATCCATCCAATGCATTCGCTCTCTCTCCCACAATTACTTTCTGTGCTTGTTAATTTTTACAAATTATATGGGTACCAGTTAGAGAAATCTGGAGTCAGACCTTCACTGAGAGTACTTGAAAAGAACCCTTTCCACTGCACCACAGATATTGAGTATTATAATGGCTACGGCTATCAATGCCTTAACCAAAGATTGTAATGCTATAATCCTTTGAATTTAGACAGTAGATTGTCATTACTTGAGAGATTTTTTCCCCCCATAATACAGTGGAAGTGAATGAACAAGTATTTTGAATATACGTATGGACTTCTGCTCAAACTGAAGTTTCTTTTCCACCAAATCATCCCTAGTTCCTAGATTCTCCATCACTGACAATTATTAAATCAAGATTGGATGTCTTTCTAAAAGCTCTGCTCTAGAAATTATTTTGGGGAAATTCTCTGGCCTGTGCTATACAGGCGTCAAACCTGATGGTCACAATGGTCCCTTTTGGCTTTAGAATCTGTGAATAGCTAGACTGGTCCGTTGCTCGAGTCTAGTGAAGTAACTGTTACTGTACAGACACAAATGAGTTCAGGATTCTTTACTGTGGTGGGTTTGCTGCAGGATGCCAACTCCATAATAGAAATCCTTCTGTTTACTTCAGTGGATGTTAGATCAGGACCTCAATTTTCCAAACGGAGCGGGTCTACTTTTCTGAGGTATAAAACCAACACGGAGTCCGGTGGCACCTTATAGACTAACAGATTTATTTGGATATAAGCTTTCGTGAGTAAAAAACCACTTCTTCAAATGCAACAGATATGTCTGAGGTATGTCAGTCTCATGCAGAGCACGGGATCTGGGTAACTAATGGTCTTGTATTATTAATCATTGCTGGAATTAGGTTGCTAGAACAAGGGAGGTCACGCTCATTGGTCCTGATTCAACACAAAAAATATCCATTTCCCACAGCATCCAAGCTAGTTTTTTCATTTTTGGAGGAATAGGGAGGAACTGATCTTCTGTAGCATAGCATGGATGTTGGACATTTAGCAGGAAATATCTTATTCAGCATAAAACAGAAGATAAAACAAGATATGCTACCAAGGAAAAAGCTTTAATTTGGTGAATCTTTTGGCTCCCAAATACCGGTGGAGGATGTGGGATCCACTTATAGAAAATGTTTGGAAAAAACTAATCTGGATTGATTTAAATGTCAAGTATGCGTGAAGGGTATCATGATTTTCTTCCTCTGTTACATTTGCACACTTTCTACCTTATGGAAAGCCAGAGTAATCTAGTCTGATATTTCTTGAGCTCAGACAGCTTTTTTGGATATATTATTTCCTCTCTGTGATTGACTATAGGTTTTGGTCAAAGCACCAAAATGTTAAGTTGGTTGGTCCCACTCTCAAAAAAAGACACACCAACCTTCCTCCCCATTCTTTACTTTATTCACACTGAACGGGGGGAGAGGATGTTAAGTGTTTTGTTGTTGTATTGCTTATTTCTGGCTAACCCTGGGTTTTGCTAGGAGGACAGGTTGGTTACCCATGAGTACATTCTGTGCCTCTACTCTGTCCCTATTGTTGTCATCTTCTGTGAATCATGACTGCCCACTTCAGTTATCTTCTGCACCTGCATATGCTCTTGCACCAGTACAGTGCACTGAAGCAGATTGTAAAAGAGAAAATGCTCTCTGTTTACTGTTCTTGATGGGTAGGAATGACATCTGGTACTTTCCTTCATCGTCATGCAGATTTAAGCCTTTTTTTCTTTTTTGAAAAAGGTACCAGAAATCAGCTCAAACCCAAGGTCTCATTCTTTTGTCTCTTGAAAGAGAGTTGCTACCTTTGTGCCTTGCATGAGCGATTCCTAATAAACTCTGGATATTAATTTTTTGAATCAAGTTGAATATATGAAGTTGACATTCCTTTCTGTAAAAGTGCATTTACACAAGTGTGACTTTTCTCAGTGCAGATTAAAATACTTTTTTTTTTATTGTTTTTGGGGAAGCCTGGATAAACTTGAGGAGTTTTAAGTACTATTCCTTCCAAAGTTTTAAAGGAAAAAAACAATACCATAGCTTTTTCTGCTATCTCCAAAACCTTCTTGTACATACCCTTTTGTACGGGTTGTCTGCCTGCATCGAATGCTGTAATTTGACAAAACCATAGTCCCTTTGGTAACTTTTTAACTTTTTTTTTTAAAAAAAAAAAAAGTTAAAAACATTTAAGTTCCATGTGTGTTTCTCAATGACTTCCATGTTGAATGTGTTTTCATTTAGAAGACATTGCTAATAGGCATTTAGAGTTAGGGATCTGAGAGTCAAACAGCGTAATTTCAGGGTCATGTGTTGTCACTGGTCAGGAATGTCCTTTGCTTTTTAGGCAAGTCCTTACCGTCTCAGGCGTGTGGAAGCGGTTGCTGCTGTTGACACAGCACTGGTGTGCAGCTCCAGGGGCTCAGGCGGTGATACTCACAGCAAGGGGCAGACACCCCAGCGTGGGTAGGGCTGCGTGAACAGCCCGTACCTAGGGGGCCGGTGCGGGTGTTTCTGGAAGGGGCACAGCTGTTGCTGGACAGGGTGATGTCTAGGTGTAGGAATGTCAGACAGGGTCGGGTCTGAGGTGTGGACAGTCCGGGGGGGGGATGATGTGGAGAGACCTGGGAATGTGACCCCTAGGCTAGGCCTGGTCTCCTGTAGGGGGGGGGGAGGAGCGTAGGAGTGGGGCGGGGGGGCTGGGTCAGGACCCCTGGCTATGCGGGGGAGGGACCATGGAGTGTGGACCCCTCCCCCCCGGCTGGCCTGAGGCCCCCGTGGGAGGGCGGGGCAATCAAACAAAGGGGCGGGGAAAGGGCGTGTCACGCAGGCTCCGCCCCCTTCTCCTAAAGCGGCCGGGCAGCCGCCTGACGGCCAACAGCGCGGCCGCGCTCCGCCCTCGTGTGAGCGCGTGCACCGTCCGCCCCTCGGCGTGCGGCTGTGGAACGCGTTGGCGCCATCGGTGTTCGCCCGTCGCTGCGGCCCCCACCGCGCGCGCCTCGAGCGACAACAAAGGGCGCTCCGCGGCGCTTGGAGGAAGGGGCGTGGCCCGGACGGCCCCTCCCCGCGCCCTGATTGGCGGGCGGGGCAGCCAGGTGGGTGACGCGCCGCCGTTGCTGGCGGGGCGGGGCGGGAGCGCCCCTGCGATGGCAGGAAGGAGACGGGCCGACCCTCCCGGAAGCGATCGCGCGGCGGGGGCAGGCGGCGCAGGCCCGGCCCAGGCGGCGGGGGGGACCCGGACGATACGCGAGGAGGCGGCGGCGGCGCCTTGGCGGTAGCCGTGGGGCGGGCGGTGGCGGAGCGGCCGCAGGTACCGGGCTCCTGGCTGGCGGGGGCAGGGGGTGGCTCTGCTGCGAGCCCGCCCGGAGCTCGGCGTGGCCCCTCCGGTGTGTGCTGCTGGCCGGGGCCGGGCCCGGGCCCGGGCCGCGTTCCCGTAGCGCGGGGTGGCTGTGAGGGACTAGGCGGCGGAGGGCCCGGGCCGGGCTGGAGGCGTCGCTCGGAGGGTCCCGGGCCGGTCCGGGCGGTGCTGCTGGGTTCCCGGGCCCTGGCTTGTCAATGGTATTACAGAGCTGGGGAACCTAACGCCCCGGCCCTGTGCCCGGCGTGGGGTCCTCCGCCGTGGGAAGGGGGAGAGGGACGGAGCCGGTCCGGGAAACAGCCCCCCCCCCCGTGAGCTGTCAGCGCTGGGGTGGGGTTGGAGAGCCCATGATTTGACTGAACACCTCCCGCCTCTCACACTGCACCCGCCTTTGGTGCCCTCCCCCCTCGTCTCTAAAATCCTCACTGAGCCTCCCAGGCCTCCGCGCAACTCCACTGGGATTTCACAAAGCAAGGCGTGTTTAATGGGGGGGAGAGAGAAACAATGGAAAGGAAAAAGTGTCCCGTGGGATATAGAAGAGAGGTTGGTGTGGCAGGGATATAAGTTGTTTGACAGTTTCTGCAAGGAATATGGATCTCTTATACTATTTTCCTTGATTGCAGACTGCTCGGTTTTCCTGAAAATCCTCTGTGCTAGTAAAATAATAATAATAAAATAAATCTCTAACTTAGGAGGTTTTGTTAATTTAGGAGATGGTCCAGGTGATCCCAGAGCTGTAATAGGGTAGAGACACAAGTGCACTTTACATAATGTCTCATTCTAACATGACTCAAAATGGATTTTTAGGGGAGAAAGATATAGTCATCTGAGAAATGTATGGATTTTTTTAGCATGTTTTAAAATTGCTTCTATACTTGAGAGCGAGATGCACCTGTTTAAGCTAATGGGTCTTGATAGCAAGCAAAAATTATCAAAAAAGTTTGCTAATTTCCTGCCTATGCATATGTTTGAAAGTGCAGTTCCAGTATGAAAATTTACTATAAAAATGGCATTATGAGTTTACAGATTGGTCTCAGTGATGTCTAGATAAACTATGTGTAGGCAGAAATCAATTTTTTAAAATAATTTTGACAGATATATTTGTTTTTAAGCTTTTTTCAATTTTTATCAATTCAGCTTTTATCACAGTTGCATAAAATTATGGTGGGTCAGATAATTAATAACAGTAGATGTTGAAATTGAAGAAGTAAAAATTGTCAATATATGTTAAAATATATACAAAGAAAATGGCCTTGAAAATCAAACTCTTGAGTTCTCAAGCACCATTTTTTCTTTGTCTAAATGTAAATTTCAGTTATCATTGATGGAAATATTTTTCAGTTGGTGTATATATGGTGAAATGGACAATTATCAACATTTACTGATAAATCTAATCCTTTCAACCCTAAATATATGCTGTTTTACATACACAAATACTTTTGCTGTCCTCCAGCCCAGCAAACTCACTCTGAGATCCCAGTCATGCTGTGTTTTTTCTGGCTCCTGTATCTTCAGTAATAAAGATTCAGTGGGCCAGATTCTCTTCCCAGTTATACCTGTGCAACCTTATTCTCTTCATTAGTTTGCACAGGTGAAACTGAGGCCAGAATATGACCATTCAGTTAGAACTTAATTAACATTTCTGTTCATATAGTCAATCTTTCTTTCTTTTCTGTTCTCATTGCTCTGTAGGACTAACAAGTGCAAATTAGTAAAGCTTTTTCATCACTAATGGAAGCATTGCTGCCACCATTAGGGACCACTGCTCCATAGGAGAGGAAACCGCTGCTTTTAGGGCTACCACCATGAGGGCTAAGGTTCTCCAGTGGAAGGGGAATATCCAAGAGGATGGGAATCAGGCAATAGGTGCAAGGGACAGAGGAAGAAGGGGAACAGTCTGCTGAACATGTGCAATTGGGAGAAAGAAACAGAATAGATGGAAAGGAACGTGAGATGAAGAGCAAAAGCAATGTGATAAAGATCTTTTGCTAAGGAGAAAATACCTCTACTGCATTTAATAGTTAAAATGGAATACATAAATATTCCAAGTAGTATCTGGAAAATAGTATGATCAGTGGTAGTTGCCACATAGATGTAGCCTGATCGTGAATGGGGATCGTGGTTGGGGAGGGAGGTGGCCTCTGAGAGATTATCTATCACTTGATGTCCTTAAATCAAGACTGTGTATCTTTTTAAAAGATATACTCTAGCTCAAGCAGAAGTTATGGGGCAAGGTTACCTGGCCTACGTTATGCAGGAGGTCAGACTAGGGAATCTAAATGGTCTGGCCTTAAAAATCTACAAGTAGAACTCTTTAATAAGACAGGGTTTTCTCCTTCTCTGATTGTGGATGGGATTCCTGTGATTTTTTTGAGGCTCCATTTAAAACTGTAATAAATCAAAATCACCATCACTGCAGACCCCCACTGTTTATAATATATGGGTTTTCATTAAAAAATGCAGGCTGAACAGCTTTTCCTCTGCACCTGTGTTGATGCAGTGATGGTAGGAGCTGTTGCCTCTCTAAGCCACACATTATTTCCCTGGGAGATATCGACCCAAGTGGGATAAGTGTCCTTGGTATGTCAGTGGCCTTGGTGCTTGTTTTTAAAGCTCGTGGATGGTCTTATTAAAATTGTTTTCATGTGTTATGTTTTGCATAAGCCCTGAAGATGACTTTGCCAGTGACATCACTTTGAATTATAGACATTAAGTTATTAATTCTGCTGTAAGAAAACACTTCATGAATGATATGGATTCTATGCAAAAAAAAAAAATGGTGGTAGTAGTAGTGTGTCAAAGTTGTAGTTAGGCACGCAGGTTGGGAAATAACACCTGGTTTTTCGTCCATAGATCTCAAATGAGGATTACAGTTGAATCTTACACAGTATGGTCTCCAATCACATGACAATACTACTTTAAGTATCTTTTGCCCACATACAGCAAGTAGCATTAAAACTTAGTTTTTCTATAGTGCTTTTCATCAATAGATCTCAAAGTGCGTTATGAAGGAGGTTCGTTTCATTATCCTGTGTTGGTTAAGGGGCTAATGGAGCTAGGTAGGGTGACCAGATGAGAATTCCAAAATATCGGGACTGCCGCAGGGGGAACGCCTTTTCAATTGTTACACTCACCCGTCCGAGTCTTTGGCGGAGGGTCCTTCAGTCGCTGATGGTCTTCGGCGGCGGGTAATAAACCTTGCCACCAAAGAAGGAAGTACCCGCCGCCGAAGACCGTCGGCGACTGAGGGACCCTCCACCAAATTGGACGTGTAACAATTGAAAAGGCACTCCCCCTGCCGGTCACCGCCGCCTAAACAACAAGGGGAAAAAAACAAGGGATCTTTGTGTGTAACTATATGTGGGATTGATGGAGGCTTTGTCATTTAATGTGTCTCCGGCAAACATTTTTCTATTTCCAGATGCAGGAGGGTGAACCGCGTTTTAAAGTAATCTATGATCTCTGGAGGACCAATGTAGTGAATTAAGATTAGGGAAATAGTTGGGGTTTCTCCTAATCGACAGTCTCACAAACAAGTGCAAACACACAGTTCCACTTTCCATTCGGTCAGTAGTTAACTCTGCAAAGTACATTCTGCTTCAATAGGTTTTCCAGTTCCTAAATTTTCCTTCTGGTATTTGTTTTTCATCTGTCTTGGATGCTGTTCTGGGGATTTACAAGTTATATAATTTGCATATATAATTACAGTTTTCTTGTGTCTGCAGACAAGACCAGTATCCTACCACTAACTCTATCTGTGATGGCTTTATAGGTTTGGTTCTAAGAGTCTTTAAAGCATGATATTTTGCTTGCAAACAAAGGAGACAAATGTAACACCAAAACAAAATTATTTTCAGAGCATCTGTAATGGGTGTTGTTAAGCTACGGCCCAGACTTCTTTGGGCTGGCTTCCTGGTAGAGATTACCTTCAGGGTCAGGGTCCTACTCCCTCTAGGCTGCAGTTTGCAATGGCATAGTAATGGTCTTATTCTGGTTACTCCCTTCTTCCTTTTGTAATGGGATGTATTTTTTATCTACTGGAGTCCTAAGTGCGTGTGCTGTGGCTGTGATAATGCTTAGTTTTCTAAGACGTCGTTTTCTTTTGGTAGCTTATTCAAGTTTTGCCAGAAGCTGGGAATTGGCGACAGGAGATGAATCGCCTGATGATTACCTGTTCTGTTCACTCCCTTTGGGGCACCTGGCATTGGCCACTGTCGGAAGACAGGATACTGGGCTACATGGACTTTTGGTCTGACCCAGTAGGGCAGTTCTTATGTTAAGTGAGATGGCTGTGCTCCTCATTTGTTTTGTTGGGTTTTCTGGGATTTTTTGGAAATGCCACATCTAATTTTGTAGTTTACTTTTGCTGGGCAGATGTCCCCTCATTTTAGATCTTTTTGATCTCATCTACTGTTTGCAAAACTGTTGTTGAGATAATATATTTATATGCAAAACTAATATTGGTTAACAGCTGAAGTAAAGTTTATGGTGGTGGTTGTGTAAGGAGAATTTCAGGTTTTACTGCAGGAAAAGGTTCCAAAGAGAAAGATCTTCTCAATACAGTTTATTTAGTTTATTATCTTCATCTCCTTTACTTCTTTATGAAAAGGAAAACATTGACACTTCTGTGAGGAATTGCTCACAGTCTCTTAGAAATGTCTTTTGTTGTACAGAAGCCTGCTGTTTATTTTGAGTGCATATAGGACAATTCTGGTGTTTGGTAACTTTTACTGAAAT